TAAAAAAAAAAAATGCTTAAAAGTTTTATAACAGAATTGATATTGAATGATTGTAAAAATATATTTAAAAAATTAATGTCTTCAGGAGGAAAAGGAAAAGCAGGAAAGGGAGGAAAAGCAGCTGGTGCTCATAAATCAGTATCGAGATCACATAAAGCTGGTTTATAATTTCCAGTTGGAAGAGTTTCAAGATATTTAAAATAAGGAAGATATACAGAAAGAGTAGGTGCTGGTGCTCCAGTATATTTATCAGCTGTTCTTGAATATTTGGCTGCTGAAGTTTTAGAACTTGCTGGAAATGCCGCCAAAGATAACAAAAAAAATAGAATAAATCCTAGACATCTTCTCTTAGCAATTAGAAATGATGATGAATTAAATAAATTAATGGTCAATACAACTATTGCTGATGGAGGAGTCGTACCAAACATTCATGCTTATTTATATTCAGCTAAAGAAGATCTAAGTCAAGCTGTTTGATTTAAATTTATTAATCAAATTATTAATAAGATTATTATAAACATTTTAATTATGCAAGAGTAAATAATCCAAGAAAGTTATTCTTATTTAAATGATTTAAATACTAAAGTCTTACATACTAATACATTGGTATTATATTAATATTTAATAGGTTGATGTCTTTAAAGCATTCATTAAAAATATTCATTAATCATTTTCTACTCTCTCCATGTAATTAAATGAATTCTCTGAATAATTTTATACTTAATTAGCTTAAACACCTGAAGAGAATGAATTGAATTTATTCTATTACAATCAATTATCAAATGCCATCATTGCTCTTTCTCACAATTTAGAAGAGTAAATGATTGATATGTAATAGGATATAATTTAACCTTATGAAGATTTCTCAACTAATTATTATTAAATTAATAGCACTTTAATCATAAAAGCTAAAGAATTTCTAAAGTAGATAGAAAATTAAAGAGATACTCTATTTACTAAATAATAACATTATCTTAGAACAGCTTATGATTTAGAAAAGAAGAAAAATTCTAAATAATTAAAATTGAGAGCAGATGAATTATTTGTTGATTATAGATAAGAATTAGTTGTAGTTAATTAATTATGGCACATATTTAATGAAAAATTTAAATCATAATTTGATGAATATGATTAAAATGAATTAACAAGAACTTAAATCACTAAAACAACTTCAGAAAAAGTTGTATCTCATTTTTTCTAATTAACAAACATCTTGAATCTTAAATTGCAATAAGTTTTGACATCTTCTAATGAAAAATTCTCACTTATTCAAAGCAAACATTCAAGTGAAAAATAACCTGTTTTGAAAAATATTTTGAGAAATAGGAAATTTAATATTTTTAAGGTGACTAAATAAGATAATTTTATAACTTATGAAGATTGGATAGCAAATATTAATTCACATGATAAATTTGATCCTGTAAATCTTTAAAAATTTAAATTAACTTAATAAATGGAATAATAAATTAATTTATTGATTGAATTAGTTTCTTAATCAACCATTTAAGATTAAAATAAATAATAATAATTTTAATCTATCATTGATTTTGATTATGAAACATTATTTTAACATCAAGATACAAGAATCAAATTACTAGATAGTATAATTAAAATAATTGATCAAGCACCTACAGATGTAATCTTAATAAATCCATAATCAAATGATCTTTTAGTATTGATTGCTAAACATTTAATTCTAAGTATAATAGACATTAATTATTTAAGATTTATAAAAAGATTAATATTTTAATGTGGTAGAATTTAATTTATTATTAAATTTTATAACTTAATTTGGAATGAGAGAAAAGAATCAATTTATTGCAATAGGATAATAAGCTAGTGAAAAAACCTTTCTATTTTATGAAAAAAATAAGTGGCAATAACTTTTGCTCTACTTAAATGAATAAGAAAATTTACCAAGCACAAATAAATATGAAAATAGCAATTAAAATTATAAAAAAACATAAATACTAAATTTATTATACTAAAAAAAGAGAATAATTAAAGAATAAATGACTCAGGAATAAAAGTTAAACTATTTAAAAGTATTATTGAATTTATAAAAAATTTGTTCAATAATGCTTAAGTTAGATATAAAAATAGATTATGCAAGTGAGACTATAATAATATTATCTAAAATGTGTAATATAAGAGTTCATGATATAGTGTTATTGTTGGAATAATTTGAATCAATTAAAATATATATGGAATAGATTTAACCACAATCTCCTAAGACTTAATAGTTAATCATGGAGAAAAAGAGATTATTTTATATCTTCAAAAAATGTTTAAAGTATGTTCCATTATAAGAGTAATTGAAGATAGTTTTGATAAATAAAGAATTCTCTTAATTAAGTATGAAAATAAAACAAAGATATTTATGTTTAAATACTTTAACAGAACGATTGTCTTTGAAAAGAAAATTATTATGGATAAGTTTATTGTAACCAGAATGCATTTAACTTGATTACTATAAATTAAAGGAGAAATATTCAAAATAAGCAGGAGGGAAGGAAGCAACATTAGAACATTAAATAGCTTAAGATGTATAGAGATCATTTAATAGTGGAGGATAATAAAGTAAGATAAATCATTTGACATTGCATAATTTACTTAAATTATATGCATATTATAATAATACAGTATCATATACATAAGGTATGAATTTTGTAATGGGTTTCATATTTACAATAATGATTGAAGAAGAATTAACATTTAGATGTTTTGCTGCTTTAATTAACTTATTATTGAAAGATGTATTACTTTATGATCTTAAATATATAAGAGTGTTTTTTTATAAGTTAGATAGATTATTGGCAATATTTATGCCTAAAATTCATTAACATTTAAAAGAAGAGAAAATTGAAGCAGGACATTACTCTGCTCCATGGTTTATTACATTATTTACAGGATCATTTATGAAAAATGAATTTTCAACTGTGCTTTTTGACATATGGGATTTATTATTAAGTCGGGGTTGGTGTGGATTTTACTAGATAATTTTGGGAATCTTTTAAACTTATGAGGAAAAGATATTATCAATGAAATTTGATATGTTATTATAATTTTTAAATAATTTAAGTAAAGCAGAATTTTTCACTTAAAATACAGATGTAATTAAATTATTATTTAAAATAGGAAATAGCATCTTTAAAAACATTAAAGTAACGTGCTCTAAGATTTAAGGTGACTAACAAATTGATTGGAGAATTAGATAAAGAATATTATTTGGTGAGATAGAAAATAAATAATTTAATGAACTCTTGATTTGTATATTATATAAATTAATAATCAATGAAACAGTCTATAGTATTAGCAAATTTTGAAAAAAGTTCAGATGAAATAACAAGTAAATGAAAACTTGAATTAGAATATTTTACAATTAAGTATAGCAGTAATTACCATGTGATCAGAGAATTATAAAATTAGAGAAAATTACTTGAAACTCCATTATTGTAAGCAAAAAGAACTTTGAGATAACTTGAGTAGGAAAATGAAAGCATAAAAAGGAGTACAACTAGATAGACAGATCGCATGAAAGGAACTTTTTCATCTACATTTACACGACCAAATTCATAGTTAGATACTTTTGTATAGAATAATCAATGTTTAGATATAAATGCAGGTTAGATTTAACTTTAAAATATGAAAATGATAATGGAAAATCTTTAAAAATAAACAGAATCACTAAATTTTTAATTATATTGGGATTCAGTTTTTGAATTTAGACAAGAATAATATCTTTATTTCTTTGTTCGTTCATAAACTTAAAAAACATTATGGGAATGTATATTTTTAAGTGATATTGTATTTTCATTCATAGAATGTTAAATTAAAGAGAATTTAGTTTAAAATAAACAGAATAAATAATAAGAGATGAAAGTTTTAATAAAATTGGTAGTTGAGAATTTTGCATTATTTTTAAATCAGATGATAAAACATGCAAAATAAAGGAATTAGTTGGTTGAATAATTATAAAATATGATAAACTTGATTTTGGAAAGGAATAATCCTTGTATGAATTTTGTTTAAGAATTAAAAAGAAATAATAGTTTTATAAGGACAATAATGGATAAATAATTATAATAAGTGAATGATGGTATTTAAGCAATAATAATAACATGCAGATATTAATTATTGCATTTAAATATATTGGATATTGGAATAAGTAGGCCACAATTAAGAAATGCAATATATTTATCAACAAAATAAATAAAGAATTAAGAATATTAATCTCCTTTAAAGACTTTATTCAAAGTATCAAATGTGATTAATAAACGATAATCATAAGGGAGTGTTGATTTTGAGGGTTGTCCATTAATAAGATAGGAATTATAAAAACAATTATGTATAATAATGGATTTAGATGAAACAATGGGTCATTATGTATAATTAAAATATATTCAATTATATTTAGAATGAATAATTAAATAAATTCATTTCACGACCATGGTTATTACAATTTTTGGAAAGCATAAGAGTATTTAGTGAGATTATTGTATTTACAGCAGGATAATAAAATGTAATAATTAAAATATTATAAAGTATGCAGATAATGCAATATCACAGATTTAATGTGATCACTTGATTGATCATAGATTATATCGACATCACACAATGTATAATGGAATTCATTTTATAAAGGTATTGGTCAATGTTTCAGATAGGACTTAAGAAAAGTAGGAAGACCGTTAGAGAAGACAATTATTATTGATAATACTCCAATAAGTTTTTAATTGTAATAAGATAATGGAATTCTTATTTCATCTTGGTAGGGAAATTCAGATGACATCGAATTATTGTAGATCAAAGATTTGATAATTAAAATAGCATAATCTAATGTTACAGATGTAAGAAAAGCATTAAAAAAATACAGAGATTACATTAGTAGAAACAACAGATGATTCTAGATTTTATATTTATCATTTTGTTATTTTTGTATTAGAAGAATGATATCTACACATCTATTGATCTAACCAATTATAAAGATCTATTCAAATAATATTAATTATGTCATCTCCACTTTATAAACTAAATAATTAATTTTTAGTTTTAAGTAATCATAACTTTATATATTAATTATAATTGTAATGAGTTAAATAATCAATTTAAGCAATTTTATAAACTAAGAGGAATTCAAACAGTCTAAAATACCTTGCATTACTAAAACCATTTGCAAATTCAGTATATCATCAATATAAATTAGAATAATAAAATAATTAAAAGACTTAGATCTCTAAGAAAATCATAATTCCCATCCTTACAATTTCTAGACCAATCTCTACTGTTATTAAAACATCAGTTGAATTAAAATTAGCATTATCTTGTCCTCAAGAAAGATGTTTAGGATTCTTATGTGAAAATCCTTGTACTTATAATTATAAAGTATGCAGAGTTGATTAATAACATGATCTTTTTATCTTTTCTCTTTAACAATATGATAGACATCAATACACTAAATCATAAATATGTTAAATTCTTTAAAATATGAATGATCAATACAGTTAATAAGCATTAGAATGTGTTGAATAGAGATTTAAAATTCTTAATAATTTCCAACAACAAACTTTAATATCAGATAATGAATTAGTAGAGTTTGAAAAATACCTCAATTAATATCCATTCTAATGTACTCTATAAAATGTCAATTCTTAAAATAGTACTCTATTATCTAGAATTATCAATTAAAAATTTCTAGATCTGATGGGAATTACTAAAGATATGATGCTTGATCATCTCAAAGAAACTCAAGCATTACCTACTATATTTAATCACGATGGTTCACTTAAAAATTGGTGTGAATTGGCTTAGTATTCTGTTGAAGGAACAGAATTCTTTGATTATTACCTTAACACTTATGAAGGTTTATAATTCAAATCTTAAGTTTAATAAAAATAAATTTTTAAATCATCTCCTAATGATCCCAATTAAATCATTTTTATAGAATTTAGAATTATACATCCAGATCCTAAAATTATCTCAAATCTCTGTAATTCAACTAGAATAATTAAAAATCATGCAGATTATTTCAATCTCAAAAATACTGATATTATATTAAACTAGTTCAAACATACTACTAAATATTTAGATGCCAAAAATTATAAAATTACTAAACCTTGCGGATATAAAATTATTGATCAAATTATTTTTAAATCTTGAAAAAAATATATATATATACATATAATAATATTATTATTAATAGTACAAATTAAATATTATTCACCATTAAACTCTTGAACTTCCTACATTTTTTCTAATTTAAAATTCACTTTTTGTATAATTCCATGTTACCAGATATTCTCCATCTTCTGTAAATGCTCCAAATTTACGATAATCATTAAAATCAATTCTCTAAATCACATCAAATTCTTCTTCATTTATTTATTTAATAATGTACAAGTGTTTATTATGTATGTTAGCGAAAACTCCTTTACTTTATATAAATTAAGATGGAAAATATTGATAATCATCATCTGCTAATACTTATTGAATATTGTGATTACAATCCTAAAAACAGCGTATTTCAGAATTATATTAATATATATGAACATTTTTATTATAAGGTTGCCATAAAAATTAGTTATCATTAATGAAAAGTATTCTATAACCATAAGTATCTTATTCAATAATTTATTTTTTCTCCATTTTAAATTTGTCTTTTATTTCCCAAACTATTATAGATTTGTCTTAACTACATGATACCATATATTATTCAGATTTATTTAATGATAATCCATAAACTGAATCAAAATGATCATCTAAAACTTATTCACATTTATATTCATCTTAAACTTTTACCCATATCCTAATTGTATGATCTCGACTACCTGAAATTATTATTTATTCATTTTCAGTCTACGTTAAACATAAAACCCAACCTTAATGTCCTTCTAAAATCTAACTTTTCCATTTATTCTAATCAATTTAAGTCCAAATTATTATAGTATTATCATCACTACCAGAAATAAATTAGTTTATTTTCTTACTGAATAATAAACAATTAATATCACCTGTATGTTATTAAGCTTAATAAGTTTAAACAATCCTACCTTTTAAAAAATCAAATATCTTTATTGTAAATATACTACCAGCTATCATTATATTACCCTCTTTATTAAAAGCTATTGCATTACACCATTCAGCTTATTTTTTAGAATAAAATTGTTTATAATCAATATATTCATTAGACCATTTTAATTAGAGAATTCGCCATTCTTCTAATGATTTTATTTGATTATTTAATTTCTTTATCTTTTAATCTGATTTTTATTCTTTTATTTAAAAATAACTTTTATCACTTTTAATACTATTTGATCTTTGCTTTATGATGTCACTATTTTTTGGTGATCTATAAATATTCTTATTATCACTTAATTTATATATAAAACTTAAATTTAACTAGATTATTTAATTATTAATCTCCTCTATACTATTCTAAAACATACTATCAATATTTAAATTTTCCATTTAATATTTTATTTCCATCTCTATCAAATGTAATTACATATCATCTGGTTTACTTAATATTTCAATAATATCCAAAACTTCATTCAAAGACATTGTGTTCCAATCTTTATTCATACTATATAAACTTTTAAAAATATCCTATTCTGTCTATGCCATGATATCATTCAATTATAAAATTATTCCATGAATTTTTTCAATAAAAGAGCTCTTCAAGTTAAATAACTATTATTTTATTATTCCTATTTATGATTTTCTCGATTTATAAAACTAATACATAATTTCTGATTGTTATTTTTCATAATTACTCCACATATTCTAACATTTAGTTAATGAAGTAAAAAGACATGGATCGCATTCAACACATTTTGCCCTCTTTTCTCGTTTTTACTACTCATTTAAATCAAATAATATAATCTCTTTATCATGCTCTTTGCAAATCAAATCTAATTTCGGAGTTCTCTTTTTACAATATATTAATATATTCTTACTTTAATACTTCCTTTCTCCTATTCTATACATATTTCCTTATAATCTATAAATTTTATTTTTCTTTTCTCCTCTATCTATATTAAAGAGTCAAGACACTCATTAAAAATATCATTCTATTATAATCTCATTATTTCATGTTATATTATATTATGAAATTCTATTAAACTCTATTCTTAAATAGTCTTCTTCAATATATCGCATCTTGATATTTCATCTATTAATAATTTAGCAAAATTTTTTATATTTAAATTTACATTCTAATTTTCTTAATTTCCATATGGCAACACCCTTGATTCTAAAATTAGAGCAATGGATTCTATTCTTTCGATTATTTAAAGATTTATTTAATCAAATCTTTGTTAAAAATGATTCTGTAATTTCTAAACAATCTCTTGCATATTTTTTAATAATATTATTGTCTCACTCTGCTCTTACTCAAATTAGCTTGAATATTGAGATCTAAATTATTCAAATACTTATTCAGCATCTTTTAATAAAAATATGTCTTGCTTATTCGCTTTCTCAGCCAAACAATTTTCACACAATATTAAATAATTGTTTTCATCTCTTACCAAGTATTCCACCGCAATACCTTCCTTTTTATGTAATTGGCAATTATCTAAAATCTTCTACATCTGTATTAACTAAATGAGATTAATTTTATTCAAATAATCAAATTTTGTGTTTAAGGAATACTCATTAATATTTAATGAAATTACATATAATTTAAAAAAGAAATATAAATAAATATTAATAACAATTTTAAAAATGCAATATAATTGGAATAATGACTTTTTATGTGATTCAAAAGAAATTTATTATAATTAAACCTATTAGTA